GCACCCAGCACTTGGGAGGCCGAGGCAGGTGGATCTCAATGAGTTCCAGGACAGCCTGGACTGTTACACAGAGAAATACTGTCTCGAAACCCCCCCTCCTCCAAAAAAAAGAAAAAGAAAAAGATTTTTTTTGATGCAGTATATAATCTGATTATATCTCCTCTCCAAGCTCTTCCCAATTTCTGTCAGCCTTCCCTCCTATCGAGCTCCACCCTCTTTCTGTCTATTGTTAGGAAACAAAAGGGAATCTAAGGAATATTAATAAAATATGATAAAACAAACAAGGAAAAGAGCCAAAGAAAAAGCACAAGAAATGTGTATAGATGCAGAGACACACCCATTTACACACACAGGAATCCCATAAAAACATAAAACCTGGAAGCTATAATATATATGCAAAGGACCTACAAGTTTTTTTTTTTTTAATGTCTGGGCTTAACATTATTGTATAAACTGACAACATGGCCTCTCTCCATAGTGAAGGGGAAGATGTGTGTGTGAGAGAGAGAGAGAGAGAGAGAGAGAGAGAGAGAGAGAGAGAGAGAGAGAACAGCTAGAGGTATGTGGAAGAGTCCAGAGTAGAAAGAGAAAGTAACAGACTGAACCTGGAAGTAAGAAAAGCAGGAACACACAAACACACAGACACACACACACACAGACACACACACACACACACACACACACACACACACACAGAGACAGAGACAGAGACAGAGACACACAGAGAGAGACAGATAGACAGACAGACAGACAGAGCAGCTGAAATAGCAGGGTTATAAGGAGAAGGAGCAGCCGGGGGAGTTTGTGGAGAGCCACCACTAGCCTTGGTAATAGCCTGGATTCCCCTGAGCCACGGTTGGCCAAAAATTGATTATTATGTATCCCATTCCCCATATTGGAAGTTTCATTTGGTGATGAGAGATGCCCAGTTGGTGCTGTGTTCCCATTATTTGGGGATTTCATTTCTATCACCTTCACATATGCACATATTTTAAGGAACTGCTACTGTATTAGGTTCCTTACAACCCCTCAAAAGCCCCTTAGTTTGAGCTGTCCCTTCCCATAGTCTTTTCTACCCTCTGTTATCTACCCCTCCTTGCTTGATCTTCTTGTCTTTTTAATCAAATCTTTGTTATCAGCCTTGACTGCTACTGTGTCCTGGATAGAGGTGTCTGTTTGACACTTTTGTGACCCCTGAGGGCTTTTCCAGAGCCATAGAGATAGATGTATTTGGCCTTTGAAATTCAATGTCACCCCCCAGGAGGCTTCCCTTGGGCTTGGCTATATTCATTGAGCCCCTATCTGTATTGCTTTGGAGGCTGTCCTGGAACTCTCTCAGTAGACCAGGCTGTCCTTCAATTCACAGAGATCTGCCTGCCTCTACTTACAGAGTGCTGGGGTTAAAGGCGTGCACCACCAAAGTCCAGCTGAGACCCTATCTTAAAGTATCCTCAGTATGGATTCTACACAGGGCCTGGTCTCAACAGCTCTTGTCTCAGGCATTTCAAGGTGTCCTTTCTCACCTCCTCTTCTGAGAAGATAAGTCAGGATCTGTCTCCCCTTGGTTCATTGGGCTTCCCATGTCTGTCTGTCAGGATTTACACCTTTTGCTATTTCTCCTCAGAGGCCTAACGGCTCCCCAGATAGAGACATCTTACTGCCCTAGCCTGCTTCCCAGAGTTTACAAAATAAGCACAAACACTGACATATAACTTCACAAGTAAGAAGCAAAATAAATCTTTACGTGTAACTCATAGAAACCAGGTCAGATTTGTGTTTTTAAGCAAAATAAGACACTGTTTCAGTGAGGTCTTACTCAGCCCTCAGTTATTTTTTGAGGCTGATTGCTGGGAACCCTTTTGAGGATAAAGGCACATCAGACCACCCCCAGAGATACAAAGTGGATCTCAGAGGCATTCCAGAGGGGCTGGGAAAAACCTGACAGGAAGTATTCCCAGAACATTCTACTCCCAAAGTCCCTGCTGGCTAATGACTCGGGCATAATTGTAAACAAAGCAGATCAAACTTCAAAGAATAGTGATCTATATACATGAGCATCAGTCTCAGCAAATAGGAAAATGCCCTCCCGGCTTTTGGCAACTCATAGCATCTCTTATGCCAGGGCTTTGCAAGTTGAACCAAGAAAACACACACATTTTTTTTTTTTTTTTTTTTTTTTTTTTTACTTGGGGCCGTGTTGAGCCCCAGCGTCTCATGACTCCCCATCCCAAGTGTTCTCTATCTCTCGACTGGATTATCTATCCAGGAATGGAAAGAAGGGAGATGTAGGGTGTGAGGAACAGGGACAAAGGAATGGAAAGGTCAAGGTGGCCAGGTTACATGTCTCCTTTAATATCCACAGAAAACAGATCCCTGGTGGTCAGGGTCTTGATGCAGTCTTGCTAATTTCTCTGTTAGCCCAGTTCAGCATAGCCTGGCATGTGTGAACTTAGGCCTTAGGTAGCCCGAGTTCCAAATACTCAGCTTTCAGGTCTGATACACCGGACTTGATACCATTGCATGTTTCCTCCTCTGTAAAATAGAAACCACAAATCCTGACCCATGGCTAAAGCTTATTTTGACATTATACATGCATATGTTTAGTGGCTGGCACAGGGGGCACTACTACTGCTTCTACTACTCCTGAAACCCATAACTAACTAGCTCCAGGCTACTGAGTGCTTGCTCTAGGCTTGGTATTGAGTTAATGTTGCACAATATTAGTTTAAGATGTGTTACATTCTTTCCCCCTCCCCCCCGTGGAATATTTGCTTAATCATGC